TTTATTAGAATTTTCATTACTCCTTAAGTTCAAAATTTGCAAGATTAATGTGAAAAATGACTTCCGCGATTGGTGCTTAGATGTGGGAGTTAACTAGGATGTTATTAATGTGTCAATGGCATAAATAGTTCCATTGAGAAGGATGAATATGTGAAAGTTACCCAGGTTACTAGTACTGATATCAACAATATGGAGGGTTTCATTGTCAAAGACAGTTGGAATCTTATGAAAGTTTAGATTTATGTTGACTACATTGTGTTTTAAGAAATGTCAAGTAAGATGTTAAATCACTTTTCTCAAAAAGGAAAGGTAAAGTCGAGATGAGCATGGTTGGAGAACATACCTGCTTCTTGATTTTCAAGTAAAGAAAATGAAGGATGACATCATTGTGAAGAAATTTGGGCTGGAAAAAGATAAGAAAAATTGTACACCAATGGCTACTCATGACAAGCTCTCTAAATATGAACGAGGTGTGATTTTTCATCAATGTCTCTACAAAAGTATGATTTGTAACCTCTTAAGTCTCCCCACAAGCGTCCTGACATTACTTTTTATGTTTTTGTGTGTTTTTTCTTTCAAGCCATTTATAAGATTACTCAACTTATTCAAGTCAAGATATTCATTAAGTAAATAAGTGAAACATCTGACTATTAATATTGATAATTTATAATTATAATATTTAAAAACTACATAGAGATACTATAATGAGTCATTCTAACTTTGTTGGTTGACTTGAATGTGTTAGAATGTATGATTATTTTTTAGATACCAACAGTCATTTTGTGTTTTCATGTGTTGCCTCTTCTAAAAAGCTCTTAACTATCTCAAGACTTGGCTTAACCACAATTTTGTGATACAAATGTTGATAATCTTCTCCCTTTAAAATAGCTTCAAAGACCTTTGTAGAATCTATTTTGTGCATGTTCCACCCAAGTATATTAACCATGTTATCAATCTTTATAAGTTGATTTTCAGCCAATATGCATGTGTTTTCTTTCATTTTTGCAATAGATTCCTTGAGTATTTTTTCTTTATGACCCTCATCAATACCTTCATCCTTTTCTATCTCGAAATAACGTTGAAGCTCAGGAACTCCAATTGCCCTTCTAATTCCCCTAGTGCAATTTTCTCCCGGTACAAAAAACTCTCTAATTTCATCAATAAGACCGGCCTCAACCATTTCGTTAACTCTTTTGTCTAAATAAGGAAACAAAATAGACAAAGATACATCCACCCAGATGAAACAACAATTATATTTTAAACCAAATGAGTAGATTGGATCATCTACCAGTACTTGTAGGTAAGAATTTGAACCACCTACAATAATTGGTAGACGTCCATTTTCAACAATGACGTCTAGGGTTTCAAGCATTTTCTTGCAGAAATCATGCACGGTGAAATCATAATCAGGATCATCTATGATGCCTAACATGTGATGTGGAATCAAACATCGCTCGGTTTCTGGTATCTTATTTGTGACAATGTCAAGCCCCTTATAGACTTGAATTTTGTCTGAGTTAATGATTTCGGAAGGAAATTGAATACCTATGTTAATAGAAAGTTTAGTTTTTCCAGTTCCAGTTGCACCCATTATGAACAAAACATTTTTCTTCTCTGGTACTGTTGAGAAATTGAAAGCCATAATTGTGTTTTTGATGTAAAATCTGAAAGCCAAAAATTAGAACCACAATATTAAAAGTAATTAGAATAAGTTAATTACTTTATTAAAGTAGAATCACAACATTATATATATAAAAATTTGAACTGAAATGTAGTATTCAAAACTATATTCTTAATAAAGATGTGAGTTATACCAAGATGTGATACATTAGAACTGAACCAACAAAATCAAAACTCCTTTGTTAGTAAATTTTTGTTTTGTTGTATGGATGAATGAGTTGTTTAACTATGCTATATATACATTGAAACCAATCAATACAGTGTAATATAAAAAAAATAGTTATTATTTTTGAAGAAATTAATAATTTATACTAATATATAAAGGCGAAACATAAATTTGGTGTAGCATTTTTCTTTTTCAAATATACTCTTTTTAGTTTTTTTTTAATCTTAATTTCTCTCTCCTATAATGGCGGTTATATGACAGTTTATTATTTTTCATACCATTATCTTTAACTATTTTATTAATAATTTAAAATAAAATTAAAATTAAATAAAAATATAATACATGTCCAATATTATTAGAAAAAGTAGACAAACGGACACTGAATGTTAGTATAACGTAATTGAAAATATTAAATATTTATTTACGGATAGAATAGAAAAAATATAGAAATTCACTATTATGTAAAAATTACTTAATATTTATTTGGTCAAACGAAGTTAATGAAAATTATTTTTTTTTACAAATAAGTGGTTTGACACTATCAATGTAAAATATAATTAAATAAGGTAATAGTTCATTACAATTAAAATAATTGTTAAAATATCATAATAGTTAATTTTAAATATAACATATTTCTCAAAAAGACATAGTCCAAATATTGTAAAAAAAACTAAATCTAATATTAAATCATATTATTATATATTTTATCACTGCTAATGAATTCTTTTTTAAAATTGCAAGTAAAAAGAATACATCATGTAACGTTTCATCATAGACTCTATCAAATGATATAGGTGTGTTTAATACGGCTTTGTTAACAAAATGGTTATGGAGATTTACTTAGGAGTCAAATGCAATATAGAAAGGAATTCTTGAATTCAGATATGAGAGTCTGGTTAGAATAATTTTGTCTAAAGATGTGCAAAGAGTATTAACAAATGAATCACTCTGGTGGAGGGATGTGATGGGAATATATGACTCATTGGATGAAGACGACTTTATTAGAAAGTTACCATGGAAACTGTGTGATGGATCTGTTATTCCATTTTAGAATTCTTGTTAGCTTGGTGGGTAGCCAAGGGGCCATCTCAACCATTTTTCTATAAAATCATGTTATGAAAAATTGATGCAAGCTGGTGGATAAGTTGAATTGGGAATCAACATCAAGAAAGCTTTGGACATGTTATGACAATCTAGGATCCCTATGAAAGCTAATATTTTTAGTTGGAGATTGATATTGGATAAACTATCAACTTGATTCAATCTTACTTCCAGAGGAGTAATATCTAATAGTCATGACAAGTTATGTGTTTTTTTTGCTTTAATACTGATGAAGACAATGATCATGTGTTCTTTTCTTCTCCCCGTATCAGTTTGGTTTGGAAAGAGGTAGAGGAGTGGGTCGGTATTCCATTGACTGCTGGAGAAAACTATTGTGACCACATGCTGGCTTGGTTTATTAAACTAATAGGGAAAGGTTCGAATTTGTTCGCATGTCTGATTTGGTTTGCTACATGCCGATGTATTTGGTGGATAAGAAACCATGTCATTTTTAAGGCATAATTAGTCACTGGGTCCCTTAACTTTGAGCGAATTTTCGTTTTGATCCCTGAACTAAAAAATGTTACGTAATGATCCTTTAATTTAAGTTCCGTTAAACACTTTGGTCCCTTCCGTTATTTTGTGTCAAAAAACGTTAGTTTATGTGAGGTGGCATGCCAAGTAAGCTAATTTAGGATTCCACATCAGCATATGTATATGTTTCCTTACATAGGGTTCCATATTTCACTCTTTCGGCTTCATTCTTCTTCCACCGTTCTTCTTCATCCGTGTTCCATATTTTAACCTATTCCATCTTCATCTTCAATTCAGGGTTAAATCCTTTTCTTCCAATTTCCTTCTACTATCTTCCGTTTTCTTCTGCAATTTGGGAATTAGGGTTCAAGCAATGTCAAAGAGTGCAAGCAATGCCTCAACTTCAAACAACCATAGCTATGGCACATCTGGATCTTTGAGTTGTAGAAACAAGAGGATCGAGTGATTTTTCCAAGATGAAAGTGTTCTTAGAACAGTGAATGATGTGAACAGTGTCAACAAGGGGTGAAAATTCTAGGGTTGTAGAAATTACAGAAACCACAATGAAAAGGGTTGTAATTTCTAGTGGTTGGGTGATGAGTTTCTTGATGAAAGGGATTTGAAGATTGAAAGACAAAAGAAGAAAATTAATAGATTGAAGAATGAAGTTATGCACACTCGAGGGTGGCTTAAAATGTCCATTGTTGTTGGGATTGTAAGCTTAGGTTTGAACCTTGTGTTTGTAACAATGTATCTCAATTAGTTTTAGGGTAGTTTTAAGTTATGTTGTTATGTTTGTAATAATGTACTGTTATGTTGTAAAAAATTGATGAGTTTGTTTAATGAATAATGCACTGTTATGTTATTTTAATGAATAATGTATGTGTTTTGTTTTCACATTTCATTGAATAATGTCTCAATATCCAACTTGTAAAATATTCATAACCAATTACCTATATTTGTGGAAACAAACTGTAATATAACTTGTTCAAACATGTTTGATACATAACAGGTTCATTGAATAATGCTCAATATCCAACCTGTAAAATATACAGCCCAATGACCAATATTTGTGGAAACAAACTGTAACATGTTTGTTTCATAAAAGTTTCAATAAAATGTTTGATACATAACAGGTTCAATAACATATTTGATACATAACAGGTTCAATAACATGTTTGATACATAACAGGTTCAAAACATGTTTCAAAGTTTGATACATAACAAGTTCAATAACCATTCCAACATTCATTAACATATTCAATATTTGATACACAACATGTTAAATAAAACAAGGCCATTATAAGGCAATACATTGTTTGATAAAGTAAGGCCATTCAAATACCAAAAGGCCATTGTAAGGAATTACATAACAGGTTCAAAACCAAAAGGCCATTATAAGGAAATACATAACAGGTTCAAATACCAAAAGGCCATTGTAAGGTATTACATAACAGGTTCAAAACCAAAAGTTCATTATAAGGAAATACATAACAGGCATTATAAGGTCATTAACAAAAACAAAAGAGTCAGGCCATTAATTGGAATTACAAAATCCTAGTAAACATAATAATATTGGTCATGGTTGGCTTGAAACAGGCTTGTCGTCCTTATGAAGTTTTTTCTTAGTTTTAGATGGTGGCTGACTTGTAACAATAGGTGGTGGTGGTTGACTTGTAATAGATTGTGGTGGTGGCTGACTTGTAACAACAGATGGTGGTGGTTGACTTGTAACAAATTGTGGTGGTGGCTGAGTTGTTGCAACAGATGGTGGTGGTTGACTTGTAACAGCTTGTGATGGTGGTTGACTTGTTGCAACAGGTGGTGATTGACTTGTATCAGCTTGTGATGGTTGCTGACTTGTTGCATCTTGCACCAGACTCAAACTAGCTTGTGGTTGTGGTAGTTTATTAGTGGCCTTGTTGTGACCATCTTTGTGGCAACGACTACACTGTATACCATGTCTTGCCCTCTTCATGTGTGTCTCATCCCTCACCATCTCTCCAACTTCACTATTCCTTTTTTTCTTTGGCCTTCCAGGCTGCCTCTTTATTGGTGGTGGTTGAAGATCAACATCACTAGTCTTTGCCCACAAGGCTTCCCCATTAAGTGGATATATCACATGTGCATAGAAAGTAGCATATTGTTCCTTCTTGTAAAAGTCAGGTACAAAGTCATCAATCTCCAAATGTTGATCTTTCATGCAAGACATTGCATGACAGCAAGGAAGTCCAGTCAGCATCCATAGTCTACATGAGCATTCTTTCTTATAAAAGTTGACAACATATTTTTCTCCATTGAGTGAAGTATGTCTCACCTCATAGTCGTATTCACCTGCGCGCCTGTAAACAAGTAACCATAATAATGATAGTCAGTGTAAATAGTTATCCATTTGAAAGTAATGTTACCTCACAATCGAATGATTGGTTTTTTGTGACTCCCTTTCCATCCTCTTGTTGATGTTAGGTATTATTATGCCATCGTACTTGGTGATCTTTTGCCTATTGGATTCTTATCTCTGCATTATGTATACTCTAATTTCTTCCAGCATTTTCACAATGGTCTTGGATCTAGCAGCCACAAATACAGAATTGAAGGCCTCTGACATATTGTTAACCAAAGTGTCACAACATGAACTTGGCTGGAACCTTGATTTACTCCAGAATCTTGGTGGAATTTTGATGAGGTGTTTGAAGGCCTCTTCATTAACTCCTTTGATTTCAAGCATTATTTTCTCCCAAGCATTAACATAACTTGCACATGCAGCCCTCCACATCAACTCCTTTAATTTCAGGCTAGGGAACTTTTTCCTGAAGTTACTATACAAATACCTGCAATATAAAGTAAGTGTAAACATTACCAAGTATGTCATATTCAATATGTAAGTTACTAAACCAGGTATGTCATATTCAATATGTATGTTACTAAGGTGAGAGTAAACATTACCTAACATAGAATCTCTGGTCAACATTTCCAAGTAATTCATCAAGAGCTGGCAACAAACCCTGCATCCATAAATAAGTAAGAATGATGGTGAAAATAAAACAATTGGCTAACAGTTACATTTCAAGTTGAGAGTTTAAAATCTAACCTTTTGTTGATCATTAATGAAGGTATATGTTCTGCACAACCTGACTCCTCCCAAATCAAGTATCAATAACTCTAGAAACTAGCTCCATGAGTCTTTAGTTTCACCCTCAACAACAACATATGCAATTGGAAGCATTCGGTCATTTAGGTCCCTACCAATAACAGCTAGTATTTGTCCTCCATAGTATCCCTTTAAGAAACAACCATCTAGTCCTATAATAGGTTTGCATTTGAAAAAACTGTCCTTGCAAGCTTCGAGACAAACATACATCCTTTGAAAATGAGGATTCAATTGAGTAGATTTTTCACTGCTTTCCCCTTGAACCGGTGGATGACTTATAATCTTCACAGTTGATCCTATGTTTGCCCTCAATAGTTCATGGCCATAATCATGAATTCTTCTATACTGCTCTCTAAAAGAACCATCCACAATATCAACAGCTAGTGTTTTAGCTTTATATGCCAATGTCTTGTTAATCCCAACATTCCATGGGCAACCTGCCTTACATTTAACTCTCATTCTTGCCTTATCATTTTTCGTAAATTTCAAATTTCTTCCTGAATGAATGACATATGTTCTTATTTCCTCTTGAAACATCCCCTTTGTAGAAAAAAATGTGCCAAGTTCCCATTTGTAGTCTTCCAATATTTTTGGAAGCATAAAGGTTATAAAAGCATCTTTTACAACCTCATCATTCTCATTGTCATACTCGGTAGGCATTTTATTACTATCATACTCCTCTATGTCACCTAAACCTCTCAAATTGTCCATATTTACCTCACCATCATTATCTTCACCTACATCCCTAACAATGACCTTTCCCTTTTCTTTCCCCTTCCCTTTCCCCTTCCATTTCCCTTTACCTTTCCCTTTCCCTTACCCTTTCCCCTTACCTTTCCCATAGTTTTCCACATTGCCTTTTTCCTTCAACTTACTTGTTACATTCACTTCATCCTCATCAATTGTTATCTCCATCAATACCTATGTCATTCTCTGAGTCTTCAAAATTAACATTCAAAGCACTGTCATCACTTTCATCTTCTTGGTTACAGTTAACTACCTCAGCTTGTTCTTGGTTAAAGTTCAGTCCTTCATTTATTTCATCCTCTCTAACATTCATCCCTACATCCACCTTCTCCTCCATTTCACAGGTGGTCCCTACATCATCCATATTGTTACAGTTTGTCTCCTTTTGACCAACATTCATCTCAGTTACAAAGTTGGTCCCCACATCACCCACATTTTCCTCAATTCCAACATTATCTTCACTCCCAACATTCTCCTCAACTTCATCAACTCTTGTCCCCTCTTCCACCATATCTTCTCCTAGTATTGTCCCACATTCATTAATTCCCCCTTCATATACTTCACCAACCACATCCTCAACCCCTATGGTCCCATCCTGATTGTTAACCATATTAGGCCCTTAACCACACATATCTTGACCCAATATGCTCACATGTGGTAGTGAGAGTATGGGCTCCTCAATAACATCAGGTTCAGAAACAGGATGTGTAACATACAAGTGACATTCCCCAATTAACACTGTAATGGTTCTCATCCTATCAGTCCCCTTATCATTTTTTAACTGAACAATATCATTAGAAATCACATCATCATAATACCAAAGCCTATCTATAGTAGGGTAAACTAACTCTCTTAACTTGTCCAATATTTCAAAGTAACTCCAATAATCAGGATCAACATCTCATATCTCTTCTAACCCTACATAACTTGACTTAGTAAAATTTGCAAACTCCCTAGAAAACTCACCAAGTTAGGTAACAGAAGTACTAAGCAAGTTAGGTATAGAAGAAATTTAACATTTTTTGAATCGTATTTGTGCAAGTTCATACCTTAGGGTTTTTTGTCCAGACGAGTGAAATAATGAAGTTCTTCTTCTTCGTTCTTCTGCAATGAAATACGTCTTCAAAGAAGTGTTGTTGTCGTACCTTAGGATTTTCTTATTGTCGTAAACGTCGTTATCTGAATTTCATCTTCAAACGAGTGTTGTTGTAAACGACGTCTTCAAACTAGTGTTCTTCTTCACAATGTAGTTGTTGTCTGAACCTGAGCTTTCATTAAACAATGTTATCATGCCCTAACATGTTTCATCTCCTTAAAATGAATGTTATGTGTAATACAAAATCCAACTCATCCATTAAAATAATTATAGAATATCCACCTAAGCCATTTAAAGTCCAGCAGTGCAATTTCTAACGTTTTCCCAACCCAAACTAACATAAAGGACTACTATACAAACAAAGTATAAGTTAGTGGACCATAATGTAACGTTTTTTCTTAAGGGACCAAAGCGAAACAAACACTAGAGTTAAGGGACTAAAAGAGGTATTAAGCCTATTTTTAATGATGAAGTTGGTAATTCTGTTGTAATCATTGAAAGAATAATCTATTGCTCTTGGTGGTGGTTGGTTTTAAGCTCTACTCGTAAGGTTAGGTGTAATTATTATAAGTGGTTCAAATGCCCAATTGATTCTTGTAAGAGATTTGTTTGACAAGTAGGATGATTGTTCTCTTAGTAGGAGTTGTATGTATGTAAGTTGTATGTTGGGTTGGGGTGTCCCTAGTACCGCTTTGAATATATAATTGCTCATAAAAAAAGACTCTATCAAAACTTATAAGATTGCATTGCAAATGTAATATGTATCAACATATAACTTATAATTTATAATTAATTATAATTAATATTAATAATAATAAAAATATATAATATTTATATAATATATAAAATTTCAAGTTTCTCTGTTCCAAAAACACTAAGATATTTATGAACCTCAAAGCTCCAATTAATTTAAAATTTGAAGAAAAAAAGATATACATTCCTTTGTGTATACTCTTTCTTCCTGCTGTATAATATTTGTCATTCAATTTCATCTTATATATTTTATTTTTAATTTCAATATTTTCTATATTTAACATTTAAGATTAATAGTTTTTTAAATTTCGTATCTTAATTTCAAGGATCTTTTGATTTTTTTTTTTTTCAAATCCATATTAATCTCTTAACTCTTTAAAACGTTTTATATTAATTATTTTTGTTTAATTAACGACGAACATAAAGATTGATTTTTTAATTTTTCTATCGGTAGTTAGATAAAAATGACTAGCATATATGAGACGTTTCGAAGAATTTAAAATCAATATAGATATTTTTTGAATTAAGAGATCAAAATGAACACTAAAATTAAAATAAGGAACTAAATAAATATGAAACATATCATATCATTTAAATAGTTTAGTTATATACATTTACCTTTTGAATAAGAATATTACTACTATGATAAAATTAATAAATTGTATATGATATAAAATTGAACATGTTGAATCATGTCCCAAGATTTGGGATGATGCTTGGATCAAAAGTCAAATGCACAGTTGACTTTTTCTGACAAAAATCTAATTTGGGGCCAGATGAAATTGGACTTCAATTGACTTGAAATGAAATCAATTAACACTTGATTCTTGTTGAATATAAGCTCCTTGAATGTTTGGAAACTTGATTTAATAATGACCAATCTAAAACATTGACTGATCAAGCAATAATCCTCTTGATTCCAAAGGTGCAAAACCCTAATTCAGATGGATCTCAACAACAAAAACTTGAAACAAGGTTAGGGTTAGGAAACAATGTTTGATGCTCCTAGAATGATAATGGGATCTAGGGGTCAAAATTTGGAGTATGACAAATAGCCATGACAAGGTACGTGTTTTTTGCTCTAATGCTGATAAAGACAATGATCATGTGTTTTTTTCTTGTCCCCGTATCAGTTTGGTTTGGAAAGAGGTAGAGGAGTGGATTGGGATTCTATTGAATGCTGAAGAAAACTGTTGTAACCACATCTTGGCTTGATTTATTAAACTGATAGGGAAAGGTTCAAATTTTTCCACATGTCTGATTTGGTTTGCTACATGCTGGTGTATTTGGTGGACAAGAAACCATGTTATTTTTATTGACAAAGTCGGTAATCCTATTGTAATCGTTCAAAGAATAATCCATTGCTCATGGTGGTGGTTGGTTTTAATCTTTACTCATAAGGTTAGGTGTAATTATTATGAATGGTTTAAATGCCCAGTTGATTCTTGTAAGAGATTTGTTTTAAAAATAGGATGATTGTTCTCTTAGTAGGAGTTATATGTATATAAGTTGAATGTCGGGTGCCCTTAGTACCTCTTTGAATATATAGTTACTTATAAAAAAAAGACTATCAAAACTTATGTCATTGCATTGCAAATGTAATATGTATTAATATATAATTTATAATTGATTATAATTAATATTAATAATATTAAAAATATAAAAAATTTACATAATATATAAAGTTTCAAGTTTCTCATTT